CTAAAAATAGAATTATTGTCCCATATCATGGGGACAACCCCAATACTAGAAATGGCGCGCGCTTACGGTCTCCGTCCCCGATTATGGCTCCTGCTGAAAACATACTCTGGAGCAGCGGTTATTATCGTAATTCTAGGGCTGATCTCTTCTTCAGTGGATTGGTTTACTAATTAAGCGAAAAGCTTGGGGATTGAGGCTGAATGTGGTCAGGATTTGTTCGTTGAAAGTTTCGGGCTATTTTGAAATTAACAATCTGATAGGAAACTGAAACATTCGTTTTTAGAAGAACAGATTGGCTCCTTCTGTCACTTTGCGGATTACATATATTTCCTCGTTCCCAGTCTTCCCACGCACGTTTGTACACGAATAGAAAAGGAGGCCCTTCAGAGATGAGAGTTTCTTTCATCCAAAAAGGACAGATGGGCTCTTCGTATAGGACCACAATGGTTTCGTGTTGGCTCGAAAACCTAGCCTGGCGGTCAAATTGAAACCAAACTATTTAGATTATAATAATCGACATAAAAATCGAGTTAATTTTTACTTAATTTGGGCCAATAGTGAAAAAGAACTTTAGTAACTAATAAGGAAATACATTCTGGTATACTCTGACTCAATTGTTAAGTTAGTTGTAACCTTAACGACAAAATGGAAACATGTAGGACCTTAAGCCCCTTAGGGCCAAATACGACCGTAGGTGTCTTCTTTAGCGAAGCATTACACCTTCCCTATCATCTAACTTGCTGTTTCTGATAGACGGATTAACTTCAACCTTCTTTAGCGAGGCATTACCACTTGTACTATCATGTAACTTGCTCTTTCTGTTAAACGGTTTAACTTTAATAAGAATAGTAATCGAATCTATAGCAAAATTCTTCATCGTGATTGGTTCTTCAGGCGTCTATTTGTCAGGTAACCGGCGCGCGATCACGTGAGTGTCCAATTATAGGTATCCGATTTGAACTTTTTGTAATTGGGTACCTGTAATTGGATACCCGCGTGATTCGCACGTCGATTACGCGCGCTTTAACGGCTTGCTTCGCACGCTTTCCACAGACGTTTTCGCTCAAAAGAAGTTCTCAAAAGACATTATGTAATTCCGAAACTTGTCATAGATACGATTAATTAGTAATTGGACATCGTATCGTACAGTCGAGGGAGTGATCGTGCTCGTAATTTCGAATCGGCCTCGCGCTTCGCGCTCGTCCGATTTTGAAATTACTCAAGCGATTACTTCCTGAACTGTACTCCACCCAGTCCAATTACTATTACTAATAATGATGATAATGATAACGATAATGATAATGATTACAATAATAATAATAATACATCGTATTAATATACGTTTATAAGTTCATTATAGTATTTATATAAGGTCCTAAGTTCATGGCGTTTTACAAACTTAGAAAAAATATACAAACAAGTGAAAGATAACCAAAGTAAAAATAATTATATAACAATACCTAAAATAACTAAAAATTACCATACTTACAAAACAAAGAACGACTATTTAAAATATTTAGAATAGTAAATAAATAATCCCTTAATCTTCTTTAGTGGAGCATTACCACCTGTACTATCATCTAACTTGGTGTTTCTGTTAGACGGATTAACTTCAATATTCTTTAGCCAGGCATTACCATCCGTACTATCATCTAACTTGCTGTTTCTGTTAGACGGATTAACTTCAATCTTCTTTAGCGAGGCATTACTGCCTGTACAATCATCTAACTTGCTGTTTCTGTTAAACGGTTTAACTTCAATCTTCTTTAGCGAAGCGTTTCCGCTTGTACTATCATCTAACTTGCTGTTTTTGTTAGACGATTTAACTTCAATCTTCTTCAACGAGGCGTTTCCGATTGCACTATATTTTATCCCAGAGCTTCTTTTAGAACTGGCCCTATCATCAATAACTGGAAAAATCCCATGGATCTTTCTTTTGAAGCGATCCCTGATCTGCAAACACGTTTGAGACTGTGTGAATGGTTTAAATTTCCACAAGGGGTTTTTACAAGACAATTTTTAAAAAATGCGACAATAAAGAAGAAACGTGTAGAAAATGTGTATAGAAAACGAAGGAAACGCACACTGGATTGATAGAAGCGGAAAGCCACAGAGAGGCAAAGAAAGATAGATTTCTTGCGAAACACTCGCAAAGGTTCAAAGACGCTCAAGTAGTTAAAAAAAGTTATGTTTTTCTATTTCTCCATCCTCAATTGAGAAGTTCATTGTAACAGCCACCAAGGCTAAGGAAAAAACGTCACTATCCCTCACAACTGTTTTCGTTGGAGATGGATGACAACCTGAGTTCAATATTTCAGATGTCTTTAGTTTAGTTTTCTCTTCTACTAGGCTGAAAAATATAGGTCAATATGAAACAGCTGAAATTTTTCTTACCTCGGTGTTTCTTACACAGTGAAGAAGAAAAATAAAGAAACCCTGTTGGATAAATGACAAAAATGGTTACCAGAGCCATAGTTAATAGAGGGAAATGGTTGAGGAGGCCAGTAAAAATGAAAGAAGCAAACAAACAGGCTAAGATTTATGTTGGAAGGCAACTGACCCTGCATGCACATCTCTTGTTTTATGCTCATTGATTGTATTTTGCCAGGTTTTGTGCAGGGTAAGTCCCCAAAATAGCAAACAAAAAATACCACAAAGAACTTTGCCAGGTTTCCCAACCATTTCCTTCTATTAACTACGCTAGAGCAAAACAGAGAGCTGTGGTTAACAATGACCTGAGTTGTGTTGAAGATCGTGAAAATGTAGGCGAATGCTTTATGAAGTGGCGACAGAAGACCAAACAACCACGTAAACCCCAACAGCGGAACCAGTAACACACAAGCTTTTATACCGAGTCTGCAAATAAAGAAGACGTATTTTAGTTAAAGTAATTTATGGTCTGACAAGTACTTTGTACGCGTACGACCAACTTGACTATAGTGAGTTAGTATGATGACTGTTACTTGTGATCGCTGTGCAAGTGTAACTTCTCCTTGGTTATACTGAATCCGATATAGTTTGAAAGCGGATTAGGCGTGTTACATCTGGAGAGCGTTTTCGATCGTGACCATCAACGCCAGATTATTGAGAACGGAGGGCTAAAGATTAAAGCCTCGTCCATATTCAGCGAGACTACATGAGGCTAACAATCTATTTTAACTCAAAAACGTTGACCGCTACCTTATTTGTTCCGTCTTGCTATCCTTGGCTTGTTGCATGCTTGTCATCTCCTTGACAACTCGAGCGAGGATCAGTACGTTCGACTTGAAAAAAGGAGAACAAACAATAATCACATTTTCATATTTTGTCAATCATCATCATCATCACCGTCATCGTCCTTGTCTTCCTCGTAGCTAAGTTATCGTCATTATCATCATCATTACTGTTATCTTCATTGTAACCTTCCTAATCCCCATCCAACTCAAAATAGTTCAGTCTCTTTGCCTTATGTTATGCTCCATATCCCTAAAAGCAAATTATTCGCTGTTTATTTTGGTAGTGAAAATGACTAGACTTAATTGCCTGATATCAAGCTCCTATAATATTGGCGTCGGGTGGCTCAAAGTCGCTTGCAATTGGGAGCTTTGTAATAGCCTTTTGATCCACGAAGTATTATTCCAAGACACTCATTTCTGTATATAAATTAAAAGGTTATTTTAGACAGTGGTGCAAATAAGACTATGATCTCGTATTAAATTAAACGCCATACTTATATGAAATGGACTTGACTTACCAGTTCAATCAGCACAACAAACACGATAAATATCCAGATCAGATTGTTAGCAGAAGACATCCAGCAGCTTGAATAAATAAAACAAAATGGAGCTTTTAACGCCTTGTTTTAGTCGAGTTTCATCCTGCATGCTCTGCCCTAACCAACAGTGGGGAGGGGGAGGTTTGCTAGCCCCGTCGACTTTTCTTCCTTCTGCGATTTTTTTTTTACCCAAAATAAGGGGGGGGGGGTGCGTGCCCCTCCTTTAGATCCGCCACTGACTAAGACCGAATAAATTTGTATATGATGTCTTCGTGTACTCGAAAGAAAACTATTCAAGCAGTTGAGTAACTTAAATTTTAAACCATTGCTTGTGTTAGGCAAACGACCAACTGTATCGAAGCGCGAAAGGAATCTAGGGTAAAAGTGGGCCTATTAACTAATAGTGCCCTAGTAACTAATACTTAATTAAGATTCGCTATGGTGAGTATTACTTCGACGAATAAAAACCCAAGAGACATATTTTCATTGATTGAGACCTTACTATAATGCACTAGTTTTGCTTTGTAAATGCACTGAAGCTATAAAAAGATATATAGAGGATATTACATGGCTGTGCGGAGATCCGAAATTTCTCATCATATTTTTCAACACGAGATGAGAAATTTCGTATCTCTTAGTGGCCATGTAATGTTATATTTATTATAAAAACACCAATGAAATCCCAAACTATTTCACTTTCGCTTTGAAAAGCGCTATTTATTATGTAACCATAGCAACGGCGATCTGTTTACAACTTGTTATTTTCACGTGTGAGGATATCATGTTTTCGCGCGAAAGCTCACCTGGTGTTTCATGGTTTTTATAAGATAAAATGAATTATACATGCCCAAGTTTGAGATGCTTGAAATTTTCTCGTCGTGTCTTGGAAAGATCGCTTTGAACTCAATTACAATTTGTTTTCCTTTGATCAATTTACTTTAAATTTTTATCTTGGTGTTTTATAGCATTTGGTGCACGAGCAAAGGTACTCAGTCATAATTTTAGCCCTTCTGTGACAAATTATGTAGCAGAATTGCTGTAATAGTGTCATTTTTAAGTCAAGGGTTCTTCTCAACCCACGGTAACGTTTCAAATTAAGGTGGACACATTAAGTAACTAAACTGATTTTGGTATCACTTCGACGTTTTCGGCTACGGAAACAGAAGGGAAGTTCATTTGTTTTTACATAAGTGAAAACCCTCAATGAGATTTGCAATTTACTAGAATTCTTACTATTCCTCGCTGACAAAAGTCTCGACCCCATCTTTTCCTGCCGCGATACTCAGTGATAAGGCCACAACGAGGGCAGGGAAACCTGCCGATAAAAATAACACAACATCAACAACAACAAGAAAATAAAATGAAAAAACACAAACACGAAAAGCAACTTAAGGTGATTCCACTAAAAAGAAGGAGTATTACAAAATTTATGAAACTTCGTCCGGTTGGCAATCATGTTATGTATATTAGAAAAAGGCAATAAAAAACAGGGGTCACCGTACTTGTTTTGGCACAACATGGGTGGCCTTTACAGCAACTTTGCGAACGACGAGGTTGTCATTAGTTAACCTTATTAGCATAAACGGGGCACTAGAAATTCCAAGAAAAGCACTTATTGGATTAATAATTTAAGAGAAAAGTTACACAAAATAGACCCTAAAGTTATATTTTAAACTGTGTTAGTTAAACAAGAGTTACGATTATGCTACAAACCCAAATTCCGGCACTACTTAAAGACGTGCTCTCTACAGCGTTAAAATCAAACTATTTTTAAGTAGAATTTTAAACTTTTTTTTCAAATCCAGATATTGTAGATAACCTTGTGCAATTTAGATTCATGCATTAAAACGTGGAGGTCACGGTGCTCGTTTAAGAGAAGACGAGCATTTATTTCGCTGTCGAGCTTAGCTTGAAAGAAACCTCTTACGTTTGGTACGCGCACGCACTAATGTACGCGCGCCAATGACGCGAAAATCGTGCGCATTAGGGATGCGCAATGCAATTCAGAGGAATCACCTTAAATGCTTACTTAAGACCACGTCAATCGTCGCTTATGAGGAAGCCTAATATAACAAATCTATCAGTGTTGGCAAGCAAGGACCTCTTCCACTACCTCTCTGGTTTTCATTTTATAGACTCAGAGAAAACCAACACTGCAATCCACTGTTTTACAAGTGGTATATACACCTCATGCTGACCGAGAAGAGGATGCTAGTAAGATATTTATTATTTCTTTACCGTGTGTGTCTGACAGGTTTGGGAAATGATCTCTATTCACGAGGAACAGCTTGAAATAACTGACGCACTTCGAAAGCTAAACGAGTCAATTCGAAATCGTTTCATGTCGTTCGCACGTTTAAATACAGAATTTAAAGCAAACGAAAGTTTTAAAACTTTTGCTTGCCATGAAAGTTAAGAACACCTGGCGATAAACCATTTAATCAATTAAAGCATTCCGAAACAAGTGGATATTGCAGAATAAGCTAATAATCTTTACATGCATAACAATACAATATCAGTGCAACTGTTTAAAATTGACCTCATTACAGTTTCACTAGTTTGTAATTAACGTATTACTAGGCCTACCCCATGACACAGCGTGGCAAATTTTCAGCTTGTTACTAACGTTGTAAACTTGAACAATAAACAAGTAAAGGTAGATTCCCTCGACGAGCATCCAACAGAAAGCGGCCATGAGGAAGTACTGCACAAGAGCTGCTACTGTAATACATGCTCCCTAGACAAAACATAAGCTAGTTACCAATTAGAGGAGATAGTAAATGCCATACAGGTTGCATGTAACTAACTAAAAGTTATTTCTTATGCGGACGGTGCAAGCACTGGAAAATGACTTTCCATTCTATTTTCGGACATTCCTATCGAAATTTTTCGTTGAACAATAAGCGTCTTAGCACCTATTATAGATACCACAAACAGGAATTAGTGCGTTAAGGGGCGCGGTAACCATGGCCACGACTCAAAAAATTCCGGATCCAGTTTCTGGCAGGATAATTTAAATTGGTGCGGAAGAGTTTTTGGTGGAGGGGGGTGGGGGTGGGGGGCTGCGAATAGTTAGAAAAACGACAGGACCCATGAGTATTGTTACTCACAGATGTGTTGCTCAAAAAAATAATAAAATAATTATAAAATGCTACTAGAGTGCCACTTAAACACGAGTTATAGCTGTGGATACAGCTATACTGGTTCATCTAGATCTTGTTCGGATTGGCAACTGAATCTGGTTCTTTATCCCCGGCATACCTTCACACGTTTTACCTTGTTTTCAGTTGCACCAATTCCAGCAAGAAATACAATTTGCCCTGCACCAAGGGAAGCCACAAGACTCACTCGGATCTGTGATAAAGGTCCCTCCATATCTCTAATTAAAAATAATTCAATAATTAAACAAATGGAGTTTTTGTCAATGTTTTAACAGTCAAAATATGTCGATTTTATTTGGCTAGCTGTAAGGTAATTACGGAGAAGTGCTAACTAGAGCTTTACAGATCGCGCGTCATAACTTTGGAAGCGTGACTTTCGCTTTCATTTGGGAGCAGCGAATTGTAATTTAACAAACTGACGTCAGTTTTTACGCGTCTTCCCTGTTATCGATCATGAATTTCGTTATAACATCGTCGAAGGGATCCTCAGACTAACTTTGACTCTGTTATGACGAAATTCATTGTCAATAGAGACCTTAAGGTCAACATTTACCGCAAACGTCTAACTGCGGTTTGAGGTTAGACATTTGCCGTTCGGACGTTAGCCGATTTAGATCGGAGTAAACTGGAGAGAGAGTAGAAACCATCCTGTCAACTGAATGCATTGGAAATTGTCAAAACTACGCCTAAAAATATAGAACAAAAAATTGTACGTTTTCTAGCATGTGTAGCTTTCTAAAAAAATAAAGCGTCATAAAACACGCATTCAACTTAAGCAGCTTCCATATTGGATTTCCTCTTGGGATCAGATCCTTTCTACAAACAACAACAGAAGGCTAAGTAATTGCTTATTTGCCTAGTAATTACAACCAAGTTGTAGACAAAGTGTTACTTTATTTGATTTCGACATTTGTAAGTGGTATAAAATAAAATTTAGGAAATAACGCTTAAGGCAAATGACTTACGCGAAAACCCACCTCTTGACGTTCAAAACCCGAGTCGACACGTCTGGCTTTGGTCACGTGACCCCTAACCGTTTACTGTTTGCGGTAAATGGGGATCTAAAAGTCTCTAATAACAGGACAGACGCGCGAAAAACTGACGTCAATTTGTCTTTTACAATAACAAATTGTCAAATATCTCGCTCTCGCACGCTGCGTCAACATTGTATAAATTATAAAATTATGCGTGTGTCTTGCTTATTGACAATGAAAAGTAGCCGATCAGCGCGCAGAATTTCTGCAGTTAATGTAAAAAGTGATCGTGACTCCATTCTTAGAACGAGGAAGGACCTCTACCCTACTGGCGCTTTCGCCAACTAAAATAGTGGGCGCGGGAAGCAGCTGTGCTCTTCAAGATTATCCAGACAGAAAATTATCCAGATGTTACCGAAATGGTTAAAACATATGAAATATACCTACGTGAGAAAAACGTAGCCGAGAATTGTTAGGCCGATTCCAATCAAAGAAAGGGCCAGACCCAGGTATGCCAGAATTTCCAGAGCCTTATGGTCTGTCTGCGTAATATAAACACGAAAAAAAAAAAAAAAGAAAAAAAGAAAAACATAGATGCACATGATTGTCGTCAAAAATCAGTAAATAATTAAAAAGCCCCTAAAATTTATAATTCCCAAAGTACAGACATGATCGTGATTTATCTAAGTACCATCACTTTAGCTGATAAACATATATCAGGAACAGAACGTTGACCATCTAAAGTTTGCTCATCTTTGAAACATTATCTTATTTTTGTCTAAGGAACACTCGATATAAACTGAAATATAACTAACAAACAAAGATTAGCGAAATTTTCAAAAACCATCATTAGCCCTGGATGAGCTCAGTATTGATATGCCCATGTATGACTTCGGTGTTTCCAGTATTTTCTATTCTAGCTCCCATAATTTCACATGCATTCAGAAAATGAGAGATAATCAAATAACTGACAGATACACGTTTTAATACGATAGTCAAATTACACCATGTGGTAACCATTTTACAGACAGTTGAATACGAATGCGTGAGTAACAAATCAGTGGTTTGAGATGGAGTAAAAAATTAGGTAAATATGAAATAAATTGAGAGCTACGAAAGGAGAGAAAAGACGGAGAACTGAAGTAAAAGTTGCATCTTGGGTGGTACCTGAGATATGGTGTGATCTTCACAATCGGCATCAAACTGCATCAGAACAGCGAAATGGGTCAAATGACTACAGCTGCATTCTGTTTGTGAGTTGTCCATCGACTTTACACGACATCCTTCCTCTGACCAACCTAAGGGGCTGCGATCAATGATATTAATGATAAATTATGTTGTTACTGGCTTAAAACTTTAACAGGACGTTTGGGTTGCTGCTGCAACCTTCTTTAGCTAAAAATGAGATACCCAGTTAATTAACTTAGATGGCCAAGAGATTGATCATCCCTTGCGATGGAGTCTTAGAAAATATAAAATACGCTAGGGTTACCAGACCCCTCTATCGATGATATTTTCACCGCTTGAATCAAGAACCCACCCCCCCGAAATTCATTTCTTTGTAAATAGACCACCCCCCTAGAAAAACATTCTTTGATTCCAAATACTAACATAAGTAATGCCGAGTCTATATAGTACCTGACAAGACTGCCTAACTTTATTTCTCAGAATATAGAGGGCCACAACAAAAAGAAACGAAATCGAAATCTTGAATTTATAGGAAATTTGTTACTCCTCCTGTTTGAGGTGCTAGAAAGAGACAACCGAATATTTACGCTATACATGAATACTTGAACGTATGACTACCGCATATTTGTATTTACTTGTTTTCTGACATGATTAAAGAGACGCAATCTCTTTTTAACGTCGCAGCCTGAAAACAAACAAAAAGTGAAAAATGTAGACGCAAACATGTGTCAATCGAAGTAATAATAACAACATGAAGATATGTTTTTTTATATATATGTGATATTTATGATATATGGTATTAAGTATGTGTACAAGCGCGCAAATGATCCCGGACCGGAAATGGTCGCCTTGCCATAAAATCTGGAAATACGAGGACTCAGGAATTTGGACAGTGGATTTAAAATTTATGCAATAGCTTTTTTATTGCTGTGAAACTCAGAAGGCAGTGAACATTTGGATTTCAGTGATTCCAAAAGGTTATTTTGGTACTGAACCAATTACAATAAAGTTAAGGACACGCGAAAAAACCTCAAACTCACAACCAATAGGCCACGTATATCAATATTTTAACATCGATCCGAGGCTTTCGGGTCAAAATTGCAATTTTTTTAAGTTTCCTTTGTCTTTTAATTCCAAAAGAGACTTGGATATTAGGAAAACACCACCAAACATAGAAGTTTGTCCTGAAAACCTCAGAGCCATGTTAGAACATTGATATATCGAACGTGGCCTATTACGGCTGGTGTTTGCGGTTTACTTTTCTCACGCTTAATTGGCTTTTTCCTTGCTACACAATAATAATCCTTAAATATTTCTGGTATTTACGGTTTTCTGAATTTCACAGTAATAATACAATATTTTGATAGAACAGTTACTATATATGAAACGCAAGAAAATGTGCAGTATGATCGATTTGAATGCAAATTTCACAACTTTAAAAGTGATTTCTCAAAGGCAATAATTCATCCAGTTTAAACAAAGGAAATTATGACCGTGACGGCGTTGGATATCTAGTCTTAATTAGCATAGATTTTTACGATTTTAATTCTCCGTTTTCTCCTTAGTTTTAGTTTCGATTGAGAAGACATATCAAACACTCAAGGCAGTGTTTGACTACATTTCCAAACACCTCGAAGTTCGTCAAACATACTCTGCTACGCGTCGTATTTTTAACTCTCTTCTTGGTGTTTGGAAATGTGGTCAAACACTGTCTTTCGTTTATGATATATTAAATCCAACGTCACGAAATCCGATCCTGTGTTTGAAATTGCTAGTTTAGCTAGATCCTTCCCTGAATGACTTTATTGGGTTCGGGCCTGAGATGTATGATAAAACAGGATATTTACTATGTCCTCAAATTTGGAGACAACTGAGAATTCCCAAGTGTATTGACTACATTTTTACTACGGTAACTAGCACGAACGAATCTTAGGCGCTTTCGTGGGAGCCCGTGGCTATCTAGGACGCAAGTATAGGAAGAACAGTGTACAGGGAAAAGTTCTAAGTGGTTAATTAGATGGCAGAGGCATCTTCGAAGATTCATGTTTCTTTTTGCAGTGCGTTTCCTAAGCGAAAAATTTATGCAGTCGACACGTGTCAATTTGGTATTTTGCGCAGAATATATGCTACACGTTTTTTATTGCTGCTTCTATGCCCGAGGTACTTGTCTTTTCTTCACCTAGGATAATTAAGAAAATATGTATCCATCCATAGACTTTTCATGGAGTCCACGCCATTCCGAACCTTTTGCTTTGGAATCAGTTCCGGTCCCGGGATCATTTGCGCTACAATTTGGGGATCATTTGCTGTTCGGGGATCATTTGCGGGCCTGAACATATCTGATCTTTCATACATTCACTCGTATAACAACAGAAACTACAACAACAAAAGCCTTAACAAACAGTCTAAAGTCGCTGTAGTCACCGGTTTTTTGAACACACCTTTACCTCTAAGTTCCTGAAAGTCAAGGTAATATTTTCTTTCAGCGTCACTGGCGGAGGGGTTATTCTAGCAGACATTATGATAGTGTTAAGATGTCTGTTGAAAAGAGGGGTGAAAGCTTTTAGTAGAGGCAAATCGTAATCGTAAAGTTGTTTATCGGAAAACAAAAAAATATCGATTTCTTCCGTCAAGATAAATCCAATTTTTCAAAGAATAATAGTTATAACAAAGCTTTATGAATCAATCTTAGGAGCAGAGTTTCCAGAACTAACATTTTTTAACAATTCGCCAAACACTGTAACGTAACGCTGAACTAACAAGGTACAGGGTATACAGTTTGCAAACTTCCAAACTCAGGTCGTACCGATATTTCATGAACGGGAAAACGTTATGAGCATACTCACACGCATAAAAAAAACATAAATATTACATAAAACCAAAAAAACCCGGCATTTTTTCCAACGAACCTGGTTTTGTTTTTGTTTTGGGTATCAGAGTGGTTTGTTAGAAAGATTTGATGAAGATCTTTGTACATCACTCCCACCACCACTGAACCTATGAATTATAGAGAAGAAAAATAAGACTGTCTGTATTCTTAAATAAGAAAATATTAAGGGGCAATGAGATAGATATATGAATATCACTCATGGTAAGTTAAACTAGCGCTTTGCAAAAAAGGGAACACATGTTATTGCGTGGTCACGACAAATAATGGTTTCTCGGCATGCCTGGTAACAATAAAGAAGTCTGAAACGAATAACAAAAGTGACTGTAAGCCAAGTTTTGCATAGGCCGAATTTGCAATTGGTTCTTCTCAGAATCGGGTCTTTGTTGAATTGTCACTAAACAAGTTTCTAACTTCTTAGGTGCTCAGTTCATATGCTTAAATTATCACCGATTTCTTATCTATCAGCTACAATTCAGCCGACTGATTTCTTACCAGTGGCCAGTAAATTTTGCATATCTCAGTACTCAGCTATGAGTTAAGAAATGCGTTATTTTTTAGCTGACAAGTAAAATTCCCAGCTAATCTATCATTACAGGTTAACGCTATCATGATCCTCGTTCGTAATTTTCACTGCTCTTTACATTATCCTTTGTTTATTTAAATTACTACTGTAATATCATTCAAACCGTTGAGGAAGTTTTCTGCAGGGATTTGAACAAAGTTCTGTCCTTTGGTTTCTTGGAGAAGAAATTCGCTCTCATTTTGATAAAAAATTTTCCTGAGTTGCAAATCTAAATAAAACAAATAACAAAAAATGTAAATGGTTAGTCAAGACAGGTCTGTGTACACGCAATTCAGTTTTCGTAACAACAACCTAGGTTGGATGGCGAATCCAAACGTGACCACAAGCTACTTGTAAGTGGATAGAAACGGTATATGGAGGCTGCGTGGCCTGATGGTTGGGGCGATGGATTTGCCCTGGGCTCAAATCACCCTCACTGTCTCTAGATGGATTTGTGTTTGGTGGACCGGAATTCAAATCCTTCACGTCTTGAAAGTGGCCAGCTAGTCAGGCTACAACAAGCTGGGATTTTCAAACAAGTTTTCAGTTTAATTTACGATATTTGTTTCCTTATTTATAGTGCCCCCGATAATGATTCTAAAATATCGTGATTCATTTATTTTGTGTTTGATGAAGATAGTATTTGGCAGGTTTAAAATCACTTTAAAGGACCCTAATTATACAGCCTCCGCAATTTTCGATGCGATCGAAATCATTGAAATTGCATGGTGAAATCTTATTGCTTTACTGTGAGTTGTGTTGCTGAAAGTATGTTTAATTATCTTTAGTAGTTTCACAGTCATTTCCTTCGTATCGACATGCTCCAAATAAAATTTAATAGCCAAGCTTTCGCGTGTAAACGAAAACCAAGGTGTGTCTGACTAGGGCCCTTTAACCAATTGGAAACGGACAAAATTCGATAACTAAGGTAATTAATTTTACTTACCAGCATGTGTCGTGTTAAACTGGATCTGAGGTGTTGTGGGATTAAGGTGATACTGTGCAAATTTCAACATGAATTGCTCCAAGGCAGTGGATGCGAGAAAAACCTCTTTCATCTTTTCTTGCTGGGTCGTGTTTGTACCAGAACGGGATGATTCGTTTGAATTCTGGTTGATCCAAGCATCAAAAAGTTTTACTGCAACCTAAAGAAAAGACCAATTTTGCCTTGATTTGGGGGACACAATACTTCGCATAACAAAAGTTAAGCAAATGCCAAATAGTGTTACATATTTTATTCTCACTCGTCACGTTTAAAGAAAGGATCAATCATAACTGTTCTTGATAAGTTTAACGATTTTTTTCTCCGTTTTATCTTTAGTTTTAGTTTCGATCTGGAAGATACATCAAACAATCAAGACAGTGTTTCACCACTTTCCAAGCACCACGAAGTTCGTCAAAATTCTCTGCTACGCGAGTTATTGTTAACTCTCTTCTTGTTTTTTTTTGGAAATGTAGTAAAATACGGTCTCTTGTACGTGTTTGATGTATTACAGGAATACATTTATGTCGTTCTTATGCAGTTTCTTTGCAGGCACCGCGAAAATTCAGCCGTGAATCATGGGCTGACTGTACCGTTTAACCTTCACATATTACCTGTAAAGAGTCTCTCTGTTGAACGGATTTCATCATCTGCGAAAAAAATGCACTTTCTGTTAGAATCCCTTTATTAAGCAAGAGGTATACTATGAAAATGAATACAAAGGAATACCTCTTCCAACAAGTCATCTTCTTCCTCAAATCCATCATCAATATCCGGTGAGATAACTATGCGTGGAAGACAAAATCAGAAGCACAATCTACACCGAATATAACTCTAAAAATATATAGATAATAATAATAATAATAATAATAATAATAATAATAATAATACTGTATTTATATAGCGCTATTTCTATCACTATCCAATAGTGCTTTACAGTGAGTTTAAAAATATCTCACCAATAAAAATTAATAAAAAACGTAGAAATATCTAAAACGTGAGTAAAATAAACTAACTAAATAAAATAACTAAGCTATAAAAATCAGAATAACGACTTGGAATAATAAAACCTTAAAACCTTAAAAGCGGAGCTCCCGATTGCAATAATTAACCATAAAGGAGAAAGAGGATTTGTTCTTCTTGAATCAGAAACTCAAAAAAAGTTCAGTTATGAGCGCGTAATTATTTAGCGTGTGGTTTTGTTATTTTTTCTAGTGAAATTTTAATAAACTTTACCCAATAAGACTTACAAGCGTAACCAAAATTGTAGAAATTAAGTACCCAATATGTTAGGGACTTTCCAAGAGAGGATTGCGTAAGAAATATTTCGGAAAAAAAGTCAACAACGCGCCAGGGGTTAATTTGCGCCGAAATTTTGGCTTTAAGATGTTATAAGATTTCCACGAAACCGGCCATTCGCCGCCGAACCAGTTCTTACCAAAGACAGCCCCGAAGCCTACTGAGCCAGCTGCATCGGTATAAAGTTCAAGGGTATGCGACGTTTCCCATGTATCGTCGAGAAAAAATGATTTGCCGTTGAACTCGTCTAAAAACTGAATTCACAAAAGGAGATCCTGTTTCGAGCCTTTACACAAACGGATATGATGGTGTGGATGTCGTACGCCCTTGGTAAGATCGATCAGGCGGCGAAGAAAAGCACGGCCCGGGACAATAACTTGACAAGTAAAATTTAGTAAGCGTATTAAAGACTGAAGTTCTTTTAGCTTGACTGTGCGACGTTTATAAAAATTGTGCAAGAGCATGCGGCATTTTTGAAGCTTTTCGTCTGGTAGTCGCGCTTCTTTTCTCACGGAATCGAGAGTAATGCCTGCAAATTGCAATACTGTATCAGGGCCGACGGTTTTTTCCGGAGCTAGAGGTACTCCGAGGTGATGGCATAGAGAAATAAGTTGCCCAAGTCGGCCTCGCACCGGTCTTTGGTCTTTGCAATAAACAAAAAATCGTTTAATATGTGCAAAACAGATGAGGCACCCAGACGATGAGTAGCAAACCATTCCAGTGCGGTACTAAAAGCTTCAAAAATGTTGCATGAAGAAGAAAGCCTCATGGGTAGGCACCGATCAAAGTAATACAAATTGTCGAACTTCATACAAAGCAAGAAATAGTTTGCAGGATGAATTGGTATAATACGAAAAGCCGATTTAATGTCCGTTTTAGCTAGAAAACAACCCTCCCCGGTGGCCTTAATGGCTGTGATCGCATCACTAACGGATGCGTATTTGACAGAGGAACAATAGTCAGGAATAGCATCATTAACAGAATTTCCTTTTGGATAGGATAAATGATGAATCAAACGAAATTCAGACGGGTCTTTCTTGGGTACAACGCCCAAAGGAGAGGTACGAAAGCTCGCAAAAGGGGGAGTTCTAAAGGGACCCACTATTCGGCCTGCGTTGCATTCCTTGACAAATTTTCCTTGCGAGATACCGAGGGTACGAGGGCCAAGGGAAGAAGGCCGAATTGCTCGAGAGAAATATGTTTTATCCTTGAGGGAACGCCGCCTCTCTCCCCTGGGGTGATACTTGACACAAACCAGACCTACGGACCATTGTGTGACCGTCATGGCTCGACATAAATAACATTATGCGTGAACATAATGTTTGGTTATTTTTCCAGGTTTTGGGCTTGCGTACGGACGGACAATCATGTGACAACCAAAATTTTTTCGATCGATGGGTTACCAAATTTTCTAAGGTATGGAGCTCCGCGAGCCTTCGGCGCGCAGGAGCTCCGCTACAACAGCGGCAAGGCTTAAAAAATAACAGATTTTCCAATTAAATCAGGTTGGCAGATTAACAAAAACCTCTTTCTTCTTCTCAATAACGTATTTCAGGGCGTTTTTCTGATACTCATTGAGACTTTTAAACCCACAAACATCGTAAACTTTACTGAATGCAGGATCCACATTATCCGCCATTGCTATTGAAGTTTGAGGTAGTTCTGGGGTTATTTGAGCTAACTTGTGATTGGCTTAGAATTCTGAGACCGATATGACCGATAAGCGTACTGAATAGATCTAGACAATTGCGAAATTCGAAGGTAAAATATAATTTCATTTTTTACTTAGTGTTGTCCTCGGGGTCTTCGTCAACATTTCTTAAGCTCCCTATTTTTCGGCGGAGACAAGCGACAGCCGGAAATACGTCTGCATTCGCAGGTCCTGCTTAGCCAACTTGAGATTTTAATTAGTCACTGCTCTATTAGGTGAAAAAGTGAATTGAAGTCTGAGTTCTTTCCTAGTGGCCAATCACGACTATCCTGAGTGTCAGAGGGTTTTATTTTTCGTGGCGAAGTCGCTTTAAGTGAGCTGCGAAAAAATCCCTCTGGCACCAAGGGTATATCACTACAGGCTGGCGCTTATCTTCGGTTTCGGTAGAAATAAGCGACTAGGAGTAGGAGGTATCTCTATCTCCTCCTCCCCTCTTCCCTTTTTAATCCCTCGCAGGGCTAGCCCAGCTTTAAATTAGCCAGTGCCCATTTATATACATACACGTCAGTGGGCCAGGCCTTAAACCTGGACCACTGCATCCTTTCTATGCAAAACTTTGTGAAAGTGATGTTCTTCTCGTCTCCGTGTCATTTTCACAGGAGAATTAGGTCACTTACCGCTACAACTGCAGTTTTCAAGAGCGGTGATAGTTTCATTTAATTGTCGAATCACTTTCTCTAGACAGGGCAAAGAACTTGAAAATCTTGCTTCCACCATGAAAGTAGACAGCGCGAGAAAAGCGAACAATACGATGCACTTTTGAGAAGCCATTCCTGAAAAATGTAACCAACAAAAAACATATATACTGAGTTATTGTTATTACTAGAGTGGGACTGGGTCGAGGTCTGGGTTGCTATTAATACAGTCAAACCTTCGAATGGTTGTTGATAGGAAAAAATGTAGGCACCGTTGAATATATATATTTCATGTAAATCACTAGTGTTATGGGAGAATGCCCCCGAAGACTGCGTGAAATAAAAAAAATGTGTTGCATGACTGAGAAATGAAAAACCTTTACATTTCGCTCAGAGATACCCTATGATGAATTTTGAGATGTGATATGACTTTTTGCTCAGGTCTTGCTTTTATTCTCCAGAAATTTCGCAAAAACTATAAACGACGCCGATGGCCACAAAATGGCGGACATTAGTAACAACACAAGATTTTCGCTTTTGAAAATTGCAAAAGGAAACAGGCTCCTTAACTTTGGATATTTGTGTAGCAGCGCTATTAGGCATTGGAGCCAGGATTTTTCCACTTAATTCGGAATTCACAGTGCGCGTGGTTAAAAAATCTCATTCTAGAACTGTTTTTCATAAAATATTTTTCCTCTGTGGTATAGCCCAGAAGCACTTGAGATTAAGATTGTGATTAGTCGAAATGATTTTCCTTTCAAGGTTGTAAAAAATATTTTGGGGCTTCTTATTACTGTATGAAAAAAACACGCTCTATTTCGCGTAATTAAATTAAAACTTCGACTTGTCAACAACCGCAAATAATCGAACTAGAGTCGCTATTATTGAAAGAAAAATTCAAAGAAAACGTAGTGCAATGAAACGTAACAACCAAAATAAAGCACCCAGATAAAATTAGACTTAAAGTGCCACTGAAACGAAATTTTTGTATGTGAGATTTTTGCTTAGTAATAAAGTTTCAACCTTACTTGGAAACACTGCAAACTTTTTTTTCGCATACGGTAAGCGAAAACTGCTTTTTCAGCCGTTCGAAGTTGGCTGGTTTAGCCCAAAATTGGCGGCCAGTTTGGCGCGGCCAAAACAGCCTAGTGACGTCACTGGTTGTATTGCTCTCATGCCGCGCTGAACATTTAGAGTGATTGTGGGAGAAGAGATTACTGTTCGAAGCCCCCCAAAAAACATCTTAAGGACATCTCAGAGCTGTAAAGCAGATAATAACAGTAGCCT